AAATGTTAAAATCACTATTATTTATTGATACATGTTAATAGATACAAAGATTGTATGGCAGGATAATTCTTTCTATTTTACGTGGTTCTCGCAATGATTTTACGGCAGTAAAAAAATATTAGCTAGATTTTTTGGTCTTACCTCTCCCTTAATAAATTGGGCGCCTATTTATACTAAGGAAAATGTGAGACTTGGTCAATAGTCCACCATCGATCATGTCTAAGATGGCAAAAAATGTCACTGCTGGAAAATGATATGTGTTCAGTTTTTTAATCACGCTAAGTGAACTAGACACACACGACTCACGCAAATAGGTCAGGCATCCACACAACTAAGTCACAAACGTACTCCCCTAATCCTTCCTGACTAGACTATCCGATTCATCCAAAATTGTCCATCGAATACTCCCACAAGCCAAACTACTTTTCCATTGATCAAAATTGCATTTTACTTACCAACTATTCATACCAAAACAACCATGTGTGAACACTCATCTCCTACCTTTAGCCAATTCTGGCCTTATCAGCTTAGTACAAAATATTTTCTCCAGACAGCTTAACCAAAAATCCATTCGTCTCGTTACCAAACTTGTTTTTCCCCTCGTACCAATTTTTAAAGAGTCAATTTGGAGAATAGCAATAAAGAAGGGACAAATTAAGAAAATGGCAAGATCCATTTCGTTGTTACATAAAAGAGAATATTTTACCACCGATTCTTCCACTATTGTCCTCACGCGCTCAGTTCTGTTTTTCCCTTCTGACACATGCATTAAATGCGTTATTTTAGCAGTAAGGCATAACCGCATTACGTATTACTCACAAAGCATTAATTACAACACACCAATGTTTCTTTCATTCTCTTTCCAACATATTTATGTAATTTTTTTTTATTTGCATTCTGCTCACACGCATATCGGTTCATACATAAAAACATTTATTTTATATTATTGATAAAAAAATATGTATGGTATAGTGAAGAATTATGCAGATATATAGTTAAATAGCATGTTATGTGTTTT